TAGGTTGATGCCCAACCACTGAGCGACTGTGGCTGGGAGAGCATATCTTTTTGTTGTTGTTCATCCTCACCTGAGGATATTTTCTCACTGATTTTTAGAAAGAGTGGAAGGGAGGGGGAGAGACAGAGAGAGAGAAACAGACATTGATTGGTTGCCTTCCGCATGCTCCCCAACCAGGGCGGGCGATCGAGCCTGCAACCGAGGTACGTGCCCTTGACCAGAATCGAACCCGGGACCCTTCAGTCCATGGGTCGATGCTTTATCTGCTGAGCCAAACTGGCTAGGGCCAGGCGAGCATATCTTAATGTTAATTCATTTCCTAGAAAGCCCAGGGGCTAGTCAATTGACAACCAGTTTAATGCTGTTTCTGTATTTCGTGGTACAACATGAGACAGCTCAGGACCAACTGGGTAATTTAATATTACAGGGTCATGGGGCCAACTCTGATCTAATCAGCGGATGACTGTTGAGTTGGCTTACTTGGATGAATACAACATGGATGAATACAAATATGTTTTCATTTTAATTTGGGCTATAAATAAATGTGAAAGTTAAGTGTACTTTGTTCCTGATCCCAAAAGACCTAGATGTTTCTGGGAAATGCTGTCTGGGAGATCTTGGCAGTACATCTGTCTCAGGAATTAATATGGCAACCCCACAGCTCAACTATGGATTCCATACTACTTGCCAAAATACATGTTGAAGACTGCAAAGATTTGATTGAAAGTCCTGATTTCCCAGCCCCGAAGTGGAAAGGAACAGAGTGTATCTTGTCTTTGACTTGTCAACTTAAAAATGAGAAGGTAGAAAGGTGCCAATGTGCTTGGAGGCACAGTAAAAATGTGATTTCAGATCTAACACTCTTGGCTGTGTTCCTCTACCCTGGCCCTGCTCACAAATGAAGGTGAGCGCAAGTTCTTATCTTCTGGAGGAAGGGAGTAGAGTTAGGAAGCAACCCTCTCAGGAGCATTTGTGGCTTTCTCAGTTCAGTGTCCGGACAGTTGTGCACACAAGTAAGTTTTCTATCTTTTAGGTATTTGTGACAGCATAGAACAGCCGAAAATGTTGTTTTTCACAATAGCAGGATCCGTAATTTTATAGAATGGAGTACCTTGGAGACCACTAGTTGTGATAGCCCTAAGGATAATTTGCTGAAATAAAGCAGAAAGGGGGGAATGAGATGAACGATATACCTTGCTTTTAGCCGTTAAATCATTTAGCAATGAAAAAAAAAAGATTACATACAGAAAAGAGAAAATCCCATCTCGGTATATCCCTTGTTTTTATTTTAAAGGAGGAAGAGAAGTGGGGGAGGAAACCCAACACTGGGGGTGTAATTGGCTGGCAGCGGCCTCATATGTCTGCTCACGGCATCTGAGCCCCATACTTGGCACATCTCATTTAATGTCATCTTATTTTAAAATGCCACTGAGTTTAAGTGTAGCACCAAGTGATGCACTGCAATAAAGATGCACAGGGGTTAAATTAAAAGTGGGGGAAATAACTTGGCCAAAGAAACTGGAAGCAGATTAGCTTGCAGGTTTTGTTTGGACCTCTGCTTTTCTAGAGGAATTCGAATTCTTTGTTGCAGTTCTTTCTTATTTGACTGATAGATTTTGCTTAAAATAGACCCTAGTATTCTATTCCTGATATGAACCATAGTAGATTATTTTGCTATAATTATATTTCATTAATAAAAAATGATAAAAATATGAACTATCTAATTAAGAGATCAGCCTATATAATCTAGAAAGAATGACTTTTTATAATCTTATAAAATTACAAAGTGATTAGTTTCTTTGTACAATTAATCAACAGGATCCCACCTCTCCTGTTGG